AGGTAGTCTGCGACAGTGTACAGTCCGAGGTAGTCTGCGTCAGTGTACAGTGTACAGTCGAGGTAGTCTGCGTCAGTGTACAGTCCGAGGTAGTCTGCGTCAGTGTACAGTCCGAGGTAGTCTGCGTCAGTGTACAGTCCGAGGTAGTCTGCGCCAGTGTACAGTCCGAGGTAGTCTGCGTCAGTGTACAGTCCGAGGTAGTCTGCGTCAGTGTACAGTCCGAGGTAGTCTGCGTCAGTGTACAGTCCGAGGTAGTCTGCGCGTCAGTGTACAGTCCGAGGTAGTCTGCGTCAGTGTACAGTCCGAGGTAGTCTGCGTCAGTGTACAGTCCGAGGTAGTCTGCGACAGTGTACAGTCCGAGGTAGTCTGCGTGTACAGTCCGAGGTAGTCTGCGACAGTGTACAGTCAGTCCGAGGTAGTCTGCGTCAGTGTACAGTCCGAGGTAGTCTGCGACAGTGTACAGTCCGAGGTAGTCTGCGACAGTGTACAGTCCGAGGTAGTCTGCGACAGTGTACAGTCCTAGGTAGTCTGCGACAGTGTACAGTCCGAGGTAGTCTGCGTCAGTGTACAGTCAGTCGAGGTAGTCTGCGACAGTGTACAGTCCGTAGTCAGTGTACAGTCCGAGGTAGTCTGCGAGTGTAGTCTGCGTCAGTCAGTCGAGGTAGTCTGCGTGTTCAGTGTACAGTCCGAGGTAGTCTGCGACAGTGTACAGTCCGAGGTAGTCTGCGCCAGTGTACAGTCCGAGGTAGTCTGCGCCAGTGTACAGTCCGAGGTAGTCTGCGACAGTGTACAGTGTACAGTGTACAGAGGTAGTCTGCGACAGTGTACAGTGTACAGTCGAGGTAGTCTGCGTGTACAGTCCGAGGTACAGTGTACAGAGGTAGTCTGCGAGTCCGAGGTAGTCAGTGAGGTAGTCTGCGAGTGTACAGTCCGAGGTAGTCTGCGTCAGTGTACAGTCCGAGGTAGTCTGCGCCAGTGTACAGTCCGAGGTAGTCTGCGACAGTGTACAGTCCGAGGTAGTCTGCGTCAGTGTACAGTCCGAGGTAGTCTGCGTCAGTGTACAGTCCGAGGTAGTCTGCGTCAGTGTACAGTCCGAGGTAGTCTGCGTCAGTGTACAGTCCGAGGTAGTCTGCGACAGTGTACAGTCCGAGGTAGTCTGCGACAGTGTACAGTCCGAGGTAGTCTGCGACAGTGTACAGTCCGAGGTAGTCTGCGACAGTGTACAGTCCGAGGTAGTCTGCGACAGTGTACAGTCCGAGGTAGTCTGCGACAGTGTACAGTCCGAGGTAGTCTGCGAGTGTACAGTCCGAGGTAGTCTGCGACAGTGTACAGTGTACGAGGTAGTCTGCGACAGTGTACAGTCCGAGGTAGTCTGCGACAGTGTACAGTAGTCTGCGAGGTAGTCTGCGTCAGTGTGCGTCAGAGGTAGTCTGCGACAGTCAGTCGAGGTAGTCTGCGAGGTAGTCAGTGTACAGTGTAGTCTGCGTCAGTGTACAGTCCGAGGTAGTCTGCGTCAGTGTACAGTCCGAGGTAGTCTGCGTCAGTGTACAGTGCTAGGTAGTCTGCGTCAGTGTACAGTCCGAGGTAGTCTGCGTCAGTGTACAGTCCGAGGTAGTCTGCGTCAGTGTACAGTCCGAGGTAGTCTGCGTCAGTGTACAGTCCGAGGTAGTCTGCGTCAGTGTACAGTCCGAGGTAGTCTGCGTCAGTGTACAGTCCGAGGTAGTCTGCGTCAGTGTACAGTCCGAGGTAGTCTGCGTCAGTGTACAGTCCGAGGTAGTCTGCGTCAGTGTACAGTGTACAGTCCTGAGGTAGTCTGCGTCAGTGTACAGTCCGAGGTAGTCTGCGTCAGTGTACAGTCCGAGGTAGTCTGCGTCAGTGTACAGTCCGAGGTAGTCTGCGTGTACAGTCCGAGGTAGTCTGCGCCAGTGTACAGTCCGAGGTAGTCTGCGTGTACAGTGTACAGTGTACAGTCGAGGTAGTCTGCGACAGTGTACAGTCCGAGGTAGTCTGCGTGTACAGTGTACAGTCCGAGGTAGTCTGCGAGTGTACAGTGTACAATCCGAGGTAGTCTGCGCCAGTGTACAGTCCGAGGTAGTCTGCGCCAGTGTACAGTCCGAGGTAGTCTGCGCCAGTGTACAGTCCGAGGTAGTCTGCGACAGTGTACAGTCCGAGGTAGTCTGCGACAGTGTACAGTCCGAGGTAGTCTGCGCCAGTGTACAGTCCGAGGTAGTCTGCGTCAGTGTACAGTCCGAGGTAGTCTGCGTCAGTGTACAGTCCGAGGTAGTCTGCGACAGTGTACAGTCCGAGGTAGTCTGCGTCAGTGTACAGTCCGAGGTAGTCTGCGACAGTGTACAGTCAGAGGTAGTCTGCGTCAGTGTACAGTCCGAGGTAGTCTGCGTCAGTGTACAGTCAGAGGTAGTCTGCGACAGTGTACAGTCAGAGGTAGTCTGCGACAGTGTACAGTCAGAGGTAGTCTGCGACAGTGTACAGTCAGAGGTAGTCTGCGACAGTGTACAGTCAGAGGTAGTCTGCGACAGTGTACAGTCAGAGGTAGTCTGCGACAGTGTACAGTCAGAGGTAGTCTGCGACAGTGTACAGTCAGAGGTAGTCTGCGACAGTGTACAGTGCGAGGTTATCTTGAGATGATTTCGGGGCTTTTTTTAGTGTCCCCGCGGCCCGGTCCTCGACCAGGCCTCCACCCCCAGGAAGCAGCCCGTGACAGCTGACTAACTCCCAGGTACCTATTTACTGCTAGGTAACAGGGGCATTCAGGGTGAAAGAAACTTTTGCCCATTTGCTTCTGCCTCGTGCGGGAATCGAACCCGTGCCACAGAATTACGAGTCCTGCGCGCTATCCACCAGGCTACGAGGCCCCTGTACACTGTAGGTAGTCTGCGACAGTGTACAGTGCGAGGTAGTCTGCGACAGTGTTCAGTGCGAGGTAGTCTGCGTCAGTGTTCAGTGCGAGGTAGTCTGCGTCAGTGTACAGTGCGAGGTAGTCTGCGTCAGTGTACAGTGCGAGGTAGTCTGCGTCAGTGTTCAGTGCGAGGTAGTCTGCGTCAGTGTACAGTCCGAGGTAGTCTGCGTCAGTGTACAGTGCGAGGTAGTCTGCGTCAGTGTACAGTGCGAGGTAGTCTGCGTCAGTGTACAGTCCGAGGTAGTCTGCGTCAGTGTACAGTCCGAGGTAGTCTGCGTCAGTGTACAGTGCGAGGTAGTCTGCGTCAGTGTACAGTGTAGTCTGCGAGTGTACAGTCCGAGGTAGTCTGCGTCAGTGTACAGTGCGAGGTAGTCTGCGTCAGTGTACAGTCCGAGGTAGTCTGCGTCAGTGTACAGTCCGAGGTAGTCTGCGTCAGTGTACAGTCCGAGGTAGTCTGCGTCAGTGTACAGTCCGAGGTAGTCTGCGTCAGTGTACAGTCCGAGGTAGTCTGCGCCAGTGTACAGTCCGAGGTAGTCTGCGTCAGTGTACAGTCCGAGGTAGTCTGCGCCAGTGTACAGTCCGAGGTAGTCTGCGTCAGTGTACAGTCCGAGGTAGTCTGCGACAGTGTACACTCCGAGGTAGTCTGCGCCAGTGTACAGTCCGAGGTAGTCTGCGTCAGTGTACAGTCCGAGGTAGTCTGCGACAGTGTACAGTCCGAGGTAGTCTGCGCCAGTGTACAGTCCGAGGTAGTCTGCGTCAGTGTACAGTCCGAGGTAGTCTGCGACAGTGTACAGTCCGAGGTAGTCTGCGCCAGTGTACAGTCCGAGGTAGTCTGCGCCAGTGTACAGTCCGAGGTAGTCTGCGCCAGTGTACAGTGTAGTCAGTGTACAGTCGAGGTAGTCTGCGCAGTGTACAGTCCGAGGTAGTCTGCGTACAGTCCGAGGTAGTCTGCGCTGCAGTGTACAGTCCGAGGTAGTCTGCGCCAGTGTACAGTCCGAGGTAGTCTGCGCCAGTGTACAGTCCGAGGTAGTCTGCGCCAGTGTACAGTCCGAGGTAGTCTGCGCCAGTGTACAGTCCGAGGTAGTCTGCGCCAGTGTACAGTCCGAGGTAGTCTGCGCCAGTGTACAGTCCGAGGTAGTCTGCGACAGTGTACAGTCCGAGGTAGTCTGCGACAGTGTACAGTCCGAGGTAGTCTGCGCCAGTGTACAGTCCGAGGTAGTCTGCGCCAGTGTACAGTCCGAGGTAGTCTGCGACAGTGTACAGTCCGAGGTAGTCTGCGCCAGTGTACAGTCCGAGGTAGTCTGCGCCAGTGTACAGTCCGAGGTAGTCTGCGCCAGTGTACAGTCCGAGGTAGTCTGCGCCAGTGTACAGTCCGAGGTAGTCTGCGCCAGTGTACAGTCCGACAGTCAGTCCGAGGTAGTCTGCGCCAGTGTACAGTCCGAGGTAGTCTGCGTCAGTGTACAGTCCGAGGTAGTCTGCGCCAGTGTACAGTCCGAGGTAACAATCGGTACTGTTCCAGTTTACATCTGCCGATCATCTTTGTGGATTATGTTCAATTCTTTCACAAATCCAACTTTAATTAAATATATCAAGTATTGTCCGATACTTACAAGTCTATAAGAACGTATATTTAATCCCCAGATTTGCGAAAATATAAAAGAAAATATAAATTATCAGTGTTTAGTGACGAGTATGATATTATACTGCAAATAATCGTTTGTTGTTAACAAACAATATATATAGTTACATTTATGGCATAATTTGGTAAACTTGTTTAAAATTTCAAACTCATGTAAATGTCTTTTCTACAAAGTTTAATTATTACTTGATCAAGCATAGTTTAAATTAATCATTTTTCAAAGTATTTGAAAACAAGTTCGGTCATATTCAAATCAATATATTTACTTTAATCTAGAGAGATCCTGAACATAATTACATGGAGAACGAATAAAATAACAGTAAAAGTGCAAGTGAGAATGTAAAACTGATAAAACTGAAAATATATTACCTTCTTTGAGCTGCCATGAAGGTTCATTCAGATCCACTTGTCAAAATTTATATCATATTCTTTTGGTCTTTTCAGAGTTTGCATTGCCTTCGTTGTGGGTCTGTGTGCAATATGGTCAACATTCTACTTCTCCGGTCTGGTTGCCTATGCCACCTACAAGGACTGTGACCCGCTCACTCTTGGCAGGATAGAGAAACCTGACCAGATCTTACCGTACCTGGTGATGGATAAGCTGGACCACCTCACTGGTGTTCCTGGGATATTTGTGGCGGCTGTGTACGGTGGTGTTCTCAGGTCAGTCCTCCCGCCTCACATCCCGCACTTCCTCGTGGCTGTGTTAATAATAATAATACACAAGGAAATAGCAATAGCGGGATATAGCTAGGAGAAAACTGCTTTTCTCAAGCGACTTTCTCAATAATAATAACAATAATACTATAATAATAATAATAATAATAATAATAATAATAATAATAATAATAATAATAATAACTAACAATAACAATAATAATAATTTGCCATCCACACTTCCGTGGAACTCTACACTTCGACACTTCCCAGGGAAGTGTGGATGACAGTTTATATGGCGTCTGGGTGGGTCAGTAATTACTCTGAGTTCAGTAGGAGTCAGGGAAAGTCGACAATCCCCGCATGACAGCAGTAGTTGCTGCTGGAATCTTTCCTTTATTAAAACTGCACATAGCTCAGTCGATAGAACGTCGGCCTCACACGCTTTTGGTCCACAGTTCGAGTCTCCTAGAGTCCAGGGAAATGAAATAATAATAATAATAATAATAAATTAGAGAAGTGCAGAAGCGGCTGAACAAAAGTACAAGTGCATCGTGAATTCGACACTTGATAGATTGATTGATGGATGGATGACTCCTTGGTTGATTGTTGAGGTTTACAGAGTGAGGTGTTGTCCGGAGACTTAGCCGCTAGCGCCCTCCTGCCTCTCTGTATGCCGGCTCAACAGAGTGAGGTGTTGTCCGGAGACTTAGCCGCTAGCGCCCTCCTGCCTCTCTGTATGCCGGCTCAACAGAGTGAGGTGTTGTCCGGAGACTTAGCCGCTAGCGCCCTCCTGCCTCTCTGTATGCCGGCTCAACAGAGTGAGGTGTTGTCCGGAGACTTAGCCGCTAGCGCCCTCCTGCCTCTCTGTATGCCGGCTCAACAGAGTGAGGTGTTGTCCGGAGACTTAGCCGCTAGCGCCCTCCTGCCTCTCTGTATGCCGGCTCAACAGAGTGAGGTGTTGTCCGGAGACTTAGCCGCTAGCGCCCTCCTGCCTCTCTGTATGCCGGCTCAACAGAGTGAGGTGTTGTCCGGAGACTTAGCCGCTCGCGCCCTCCTGCCTCTCTGTATGCCGGCTCAACAGAGTGAGGTGTTGTCCGGAGACTTAGCCGCTCGCGCCCTCCTGCCTCTCTGTATGCCGGCTCAACAGAGTGAGGTGTTGTCCGGAGACTTAGCCGCTCGCGCCCTCCTGCCTCTCTGTATGCCGGCTCAACAGAGTGAGGTGTTGTCCGGAGACTTAGCCGCTCGCGCCCTCCTGCCTCTCTGTATGCCGGCTCAACAGAGTGAGGTGTTGTCCGGAGACTTAGCCGCTAGCGCCCTCCTGCCTCTCTGTATGCCGGCTCAACAGAGTGAGGTGTTGTCCGGAGACTTAGCCGCTAGCGCCCTCCTGCCTCTCTGTATGCCGGCTCAACAGAGTGAGGTGTTGTCCGGAGACTTAGCCGCTAGCGCCCTCCTGCCTCTCTGTATGCCGGCTCAACAGAGTGAGGTGTTGTCCGGAGACTTAGCCGCTAGCGCCCTCCTGCCTCTCTGTATGCCGGCTCAGCCACGTCGCCAACACAACTCATCTCTTACTAACTACGTCGTTCTCGCTCACATTCGCTCTCAGGATAAACAACAACGTAATTGAAAATGGCATCAACTCACGAAAATGATGTACTGTCTCGTTTTCTGTTTTGGGTCCTCTGGCTTAGGCTGTTGGGTCAGGAGAGGACACCTTCACGTAACGGTTCTCATGACGTTTTGAAACCTTAGGAGAATTTCCTAAGGTTTGCGTTTGTTTGCGAATAGTTTGCGTCCCGCCCCTCCCCGTGTTAAACAGTTTACCCTTATCTACCGTGTCAATTCCTCTGGGAATTTTGCAAGTAGCGATCATCTCTCTCTTTACTCTTTTGACTTCCAATGTCGTGAGGTGCATTTCTCGCAGTCTTTCCTCTTAACTCATGCCTCTTAGTTCTGGGACTACCCCAGTGGCATACCTCTGAACTTTTTCCAGCTTCGTTTTATGCTTGACAAGGTACGGGCTCCATGCTGCGGCCGCATACTCCAGGATTGGTCTTACATATGTGGTGTACAAGGTTCTGAAGGATTCTTTACACAGGTTTCTGAAGGCAGTTCTGATGTTAGCCAGCCTAGTATATGCCTCAGATGTTTTTCTTTTTTTTTGTGGCCATCAGGAGACAGGTTTGGTGTTATATTAACTCCTAGATCTTTCTCTCTGTCCGTTTCGTGAAGGACTTCATCTCCCATTCGTTATCCTGTGTTTGGCCGCCTGTTTCCATCGCTTAGTTTTATTACCTTTCTCCTACTCGGGTTGAGTCCAACCATTTGGGTTGGATGGTAGAGCGACGGTCTCGCTTCATGCAGGTCGGCGTTCAATCCCCGACCATCCAAGTGGTTGGGCACCATTCCTTCCCTCCTTCCCATCCCAAATCCTTATCCTGACCCCTTCCTAGTGCTATATAGTCGTAATGGCTTGGCGCACTCCCGATAGTTCCCTTCCCCTTCCCTTACTCGGGTTGAACTTTAGCAGTCATTTGTTGAACCATTCACTCAGTTTGTCTAGGTCATCTTATAGCCTCATACTATCTTCCTCTGTCTTAATCCACCTATAATCCTATCCTCCTATAATCCTATCTTCCAATGAGAGGAACGATTTTATTCCCTCTGGGAGATCATTTACAGAAATCAGAAACAGTATAGGTCCAAGGACTGAACCCTGTGGGACTCCACTGGTGACGCCTCGCCAATCTGAGACCTCACCCCTCACAGTGACTGTCTGTCTTCTGTTGCTTACGTACTCCGTAATCCAGTGGAGTACCTTTCCTTTCACTCCCGCCTTCATTTCAAGCTTGTGCACTAGTCTCTTATGTGATACTGTGTCAAAGGCTTTCTGACAATCCAAAAATATGCAGTCTGACCAGCCGTCTCTACCTTGTTTGATTTGTGTTGCCTGGTCATAGAATTCAGTTAATCCTGTGAGGCATGATTTGCCATCCCTGGGAATTCGAGGTCAAGTGTTCCGTCACATTGTCACGCAGCACCTGTTCAGGTGGAGTGAATTGTGGGCGAGGAGATTAATCACCTGTGTTGTCATCTTGTCAGTCCAGAGGGACTTAAGTGTACACAGACGTACAGTGTGTGTAAGTGTGTGGGTACACACGGGAACACAGAATATACATAGATTAGCCAAGGACTGAGAGGATGTCCATGTAATAAATTCTTTTATTTCATTGTGGTAATCATTTTTGATCGTCCGTGGGACGGAGTGATATCATTTCCATGTGTGGTCTTGCAGGTGTGGAATTCCAACACTGAGCTCTCAGGTATGTGTAACGCCAGTGATTCCTGGCAATGATTATTGTGGAGTGTGCCACAGTGTGGCTTAAATTTCTTGTAGTGTTCCCAGGGCCGTGACAAGTGTGATTTATATAAATATATATATTGTGGTTGCAGTATTAATTAACGTAATTTTGGTGAGGTTTGGTGAGTGACGAGGCCGTCTAGAGAGACCGCCCCCGCTCTGTCGAGTAACGTAACTCTCGAGTGTTTATCGGCATGCGTGACCGATAAATCACTCACCCATGTGATTTAAGGAGTGTGAGATTCTCCTTAGTGTTCCCAATAACGTTTGATAGCTGTAGGCTACATGTGTCAGCGGTGATTATATATATATATAATCGTAGTGTCACGGTGCCCAGTGTTAATGTGTTCTTTACTGTGTGGTGATTGCAATATATTGACCTATGTTCTAGGGGTCCTTTGCAGCAGTAAGTAAGTGTGTGCAGGGTTCTAATATTTGGAAATTGGAGTACTTGCCGTGTGTGTTATTGCAAAGGGGGTTGTTATTTGATGGTGATTGTTGCTAGTGTTGAGCAATCACCGTATGTGATTGCAGTTTAGTAAAACCATTGTGGGGCAGTGTTCTAGAGGGTTCATGTCCTGTAGGTTATTTTACTAGGTTCTGCAGTATTGTCATAGCAACCGGATTGTAACGTAAATCACTGTGATTTGTTAGTGTGATTTGTCATTGTCGTGGGGGAACTCGGCTGTAGACGAGTACTTGGATATACATATATTCTCCTGGTTATCTGGTAGGACATCGAAGTCCAGTATTCAGTGAGGTGATTGCGAGGCAATTAATATAACGTAACCAAGGGAACGCCCATTGCTTTAAGAGAATTTGTTCTTTGACAATTTGAGTAACGTAGAATGCGTTTGGGTTAATTTACTTTCCTGTAAGCAGCTACGGTAGTCTCGAGGAGCCTAGCCATCAGCCAGATAAGAATTAGAGTATTGTCTGTCGTAATTAACGGTCAGTGGGCCGGGTGATTGACGTGTTTCAGGAAGTCAAAGTAATTAATCTCGATCCTTGTTTGATCGACTCACACGAAGGCTACATTGTTCCATTAACGTAACGTCGTTATCTGCCCGGAAGTACCGGCATTGGATTGACTCGTGAGAGGAGTAACGTCATTTATAATAACGTAAACGTGGGGCTAATTACTGTTATTAGTCGCCTGAATTGGTCTGAGTATGGAAGGCTTAGACGGAATTCATACCTTAATGTAAATTGCTGAGCCAGTGTGAAAGGTTGCGTATTTTAATTGTTTAATTATTGATCTTGAGGATAGTAATTAATTACTCTAAAGGTAATCACGAGTGATTACCGTTCTCTTAGCACTTTGGACATTGCAAATCAGAGTTTACCATCGCTGAGTGATTAGTAACCGATTAACGTAAATTAACGTAACTAGTAGAGATTAATCAGCTGTCTGGAAGTACAGGGATTAATGGGATTTTCTCACTGAATGCTCGACGGGTAGAGTGTTGTTTGATTTCCGCGTTACTAGTGACAGTTGTAAGAGTTGTTAATTTAACGTAAATGTTACCTTGTAATTAACGTAAATCTTATTGGGTTATTAACGTAAATCAATTGTTATTGATTGTTGATCGTCCGTGGGACGTAGTGTTAACGTAAGGATTAATTTGAGGAAGGGTGCTGGAGT